AAGGCAAACAATAGGGAAACAGTGCTCTCTTTAGTCATTTTCTTAGCCTTGCCTGTTTTTGATGATATCATGGGTCCTGTTTCTAGCGTGACAGAAATTTGGCAGATCGTTTCACAAGCAGTGTGTTCCTTTAAACTTCTCTTTTTCCCTCTTCTTTTCGGTTGAATGGCATTTAAAGAAAAACTGATCTTGTATCTTGTGTCAGTTTCGTGGAAGCGGAACAGGTAGCCGATAACTCCTATCATAGATGCGTCTTTGCCGCTTTTATTCAGCTCACTTTTGATGCAGTTACACTGATAATCAGGCAATTTAAGACTAGATGCACTTTCTCCATCATAACTTACTGCCACTGTTACATCGTAATGACCTCCGATGTCAAGCGCCTCCCGTGTATGTTGATTCTTACAGACCAGCAGTTGTACTAAGTGATCGATGTCACAATCAGGGAAGCCAAGTCTACTCCGACCAACGCTCAAAAGTCCGCGTGGTTTCCAGAGTTCTCTCAACACAGGACCATTCTCGTCGCCGCTTTTGACATTGCTTTGATTTTCAGAATGGATCGAGTCATCCACTGATCTAGAGTTCAGAAAATTGTCTCTAGCACTTTGGAAGATACTATCGTTAACAACATTCAAACCAAAGAAGTTGTCATTGTCGCTTGTTTCTCGCTCGTCGTCACTTAAATCACTTCTAGAAACATCGGTCCCATTGCAATCATCTGCAGCTCCGACTGCTTGACACCTTTTCACTCCACCGTCGTCGAAACCTTGACTACCAGTAGCCATTTCAGCCAATAAATCTAATTTTCACGCTTTCCACAAGTCACCCAACCAGTTGTCAAAATAATTTTTTTGTGTGTGTGTGAACATTTGGTAAAACACGTGACGGTCAGACAGATTGGTGAAAATTGGTAAAACATGTGACGGTCGTGGTGATGGCTTCCTGACAGTCAAGACAAATTCGTTCGTGACGACCATCACGAGTGCTTGACCGTCACGGGTTTTACGGGCGCCGAATATTTCTCACGCAAAACAATTCATTCTCATGGAATAATAAATTACACAGCATCCATGTTGGCTGAATATCGGTTTAGAAAGCCAGATGTCCATAAATTAAGGTAATTAGCTTGAAATAAAACTGTCAATAGATTTTTGTTCAAACTTTGTCAAATGAATATTTATCATATGAGAACTTTAATTCTAAAATAAAAGGGGTTGGTGTCCATGCTCGTTAAGGAGTAGTGAGCCATTGCAAATGTTCCATTTTGGCATTATTTAATGCTTGTTACAAGAACGCATTCCAAGTTATTGTAAAATCTTTATGAACCCAGACTCATGAAAAGCATGAAAACATGCCTCACACTACAGTCAACACTTGTGTCGGACACAAATAAGCTTTTTGAGTTTGATTTTGACAGACAGCTGAATCCTTGTTAAAATATTAGAACCAAATTGCTTGCCATGGCTACCAAACTGCAAAATAGAAAAGACTACAGTGCAGCTGCTATTTTCCTTATTTCTTTAATTTTCAGCAATAGAAATCAAATCAGTCTTTTCTCACGCAAAGCTAATGATTAGTTGATTAAAACGACGTGTGGAAAAAAAATTGGGGTGCCCCAGCTTGTTAGTGGGCTGTAGCCATTTTTCAACCGTCACGTTTTCAATAATGTGCGCGTGCACGACGGGGCAGAGAGCGAAACGCGATACACCAGCGCGGAGCGCGCCAACGAACGCGAAGCTCCTCGCTGTCTATTCTATGGATAGCAGTGTGCCCTTGTAAACAAAATGACGGCCGCTTCTTGGCGTTTACGAAGTGTCTGTGAAGAGGATTTAGATAAAGCTTTGCCGGAACGACTAGTAGATTTATACTAAAACAATTAGATTATACGCTCTCGATTTCCATGCGTGATAGTTGACTCGACTAGTAGATTTCTGCATATGCTAAATCAATTAGATTATTCGCTCTCCCTTTTTATGCGTGATAGCTGACTCGGGCTGCGCCTTCGTCAACTATCATGCTCCAGAGCTCATAATCTAATTGTTTAGTAGTGTGTGGTTAGGCTTCACTAGACCTTTTCACGGTCTCTGGCGCCATCTTACTTGTGGGGCAAACCTGGCAAAAATTACAATAAATGTATGGGGAAAATGGAAAATCTAATGTCGAACAGCTAATGAAAAATTCGAGCTCAGAAGTATTTATGAATAAAAAATTAAAGATACTAGGTTAAAGAATTTGCAGATCACATTCGAGGCGGAAAATCACCTCTCTATTTAAAAGCCATAATCAAGGTTTTGAAATTTCCGTGATACATTCTTTTGTCTGTAAAACCGAGTCGCAATCTGCGGAAAAATTCAGAGACATTTTTATGAAAAATTTAAAAGTGCAATTACTCTCCAGACAGCGCGCAAGTCTATGTTTTTCAAATTTGGTCAACGAAACCCTCTGTTGAGTATCTGCTCCTTCCAACTCATTAACTACTCAGAACCTCAAACTTTTAACTTTTCCCACGCATATACTGCAATTTTGCTGTGTTTGCCGTCCCTAGGGGGGTTCCAACATGAATAGGACGCGGTTGCTCAACGGAAATTTGGAAAAGAACCCCTAAAAGGTGCCAAGATGCCGCTTCGTGGGTGTGGCTTGAATTTTTTTTCACCCCAAAGAAGTACCAATTCTAACACAAGACATTAACTCCTGTCATATTTTTTTTTCGCTTATACCATAAAAGGTACCTCAAAAGCTATCGCTGTGGACTTTTTGGGCCTTGACTTGTCTTAACAAGTCAAGGCCCAAGTTTATTATTATTATTAATTATTTTTATTATTTATTATTATTATTAATTATTGTTATTATTAATTATTATTATTATTAATTATTATTATTATTATTATTATTATTACACCTTAAGAGATACCAAAACCTCTTTTAAACCCCTGAGAATTTCGACGAGCACCCCCGTCCTTTTTACGTGGGAATCCCCCCTGGGGTTTGCCCCTCAAGCTAGGTCTATTCTCTCCAGTGTTTCGAACCTTTCCTGGTCTTAGTACATGTTTATTAAAAGAGATTTGAACGTAATTTGCAACTGAATGCTCCATGCATTTAATCGTGTGTCTTGTCGCGTAGTTAAAACATGTTTTACACCACGTGACGCTGCTCCACACCAGAAGAAGCGTTGCGTGACGACCCGAGTAACAGCTGTCAAGGAAACAACTTTTACTGTAAAATTAAAAAGCCTGAGATCTCCTCTGTCTCACTGACTTAGGTCTCCAGTAATGTTGCTGCCTCGTGAGATGCTTTTCACAAACTTTTACAACTAGCATCAGATCTGGAGGAATGTCTTTAGAAGTTCACAATGATATGGGCCCCAGGACTTGTAAACATGGCGTCGAATTAGTTACTGTGAAAACAAGGTTTTCTTCAGAAAGTTTTGACGATTTGGGATCTGCATAGGAGGCTTCTCTTAGGTGAAGAAAAATACATTTTCACCAATTGATCCCTTAAAAATTTCTCCTTCTAATAAATTTGCTTTTTTGAAGTTTTCATTAAGGTGGTATATACCCCAAAATATGTCGATGTTTATGAAAAATTCCATTTTTAAAAAAATACAAGATTAAGACCCTTGAACACTTATTAAAAACATTTTGAAACGATCTTGCTGAATTTACCTCTAGGTAAGTGTGAAATTTAAGGAAAGTACACAGTGGTATAAGATTTTTTACGTAGCAACGGCCATTGCAACGGCTGTTTTAATATATAAGAACGATACTTTGTGGTAAAGCTGTAAAGAGATGCACGACTCGATTGCTGTAATTACTTGGGAAAAGGTTTTGCCTGATTTACCATCACCGGCTCATTCATTTTCCTTATGAAAAGGAACATTTCCCATAACTACGGAAACTTTTTACAAAATAGAACAACCATTATTCCCCCCCCCCCCCGCCTGCAGATCCAATCTGCACCTCCCCCCCCCCCCGCGATGTTTGGCTTGTTAAATGCTTAATCCATCATGTAAGAAATTTCAAGTGCGTTTTTCTCAACTGTCTACTTTTGTACCAACTGACTTCACGCCAACATTTCTACCTTGGAAGGTATTTAAGAGAAATTCCTGAATTTTGGGGTAATCAAAGATCAATGGCGTCGTGATGCAATAAACTAAAAAAATCATAACATTTTAACTTCTTTCACGTGACACTAGATAATTTGTTCACTGTGTTTGGTGCAAAATAAGGTTATTTCCAAATAAAGCCTGTGGAAACCACTGAAAACAAGAGTTAACTGTCAAAACTTTAGTTTATTACATAGAACGAAACAGAAAATTACAAGATATTCTTGTTTGAAAATCAAATCTTGTTTTGTGAAAGAGCACGAACTGTTGGCGTCAATACCGTGAAACTCTACATCAAAAGGTTGTGGCTGGTTTCCATAGCAACCATTTTGAGTAAAACTTTCAAAATTTAATTTCTCTTTTTGAGTGCAATAGCACAATTAATCTTTCTTCACCATATTTAAACAAACGTTTTGGTCCATTTTAGGGTACCATACAACCTTAATAATATCCCTCGGTCCTTTGAATTAATCTTAAAAATATTTCTTTTTGCCTCGATATGAATAGTTGTGTTATTTTTTTCCCTATAACCCTTAGCGCACCCTCAGGGTGTGTAAACTCTGTGGCATTTGTTCTTACAGAAAAATAACGGCAAGGAGATTCGAAATATTAA